GGCTAGGCTGGGGTTTCATCCCAACGTTGCCGTGGGCGCCAAGGAGAGGATGGTCCCCGAGTGCCACCCCAAGGTCCCCATGGGGGAGCAGAGGTGGCACGTGAGGGCAGATCCCATCCCCGCTCAGCACCTTCTTCCCCAGAAAGGGGATACGAGGGCGGTCCATGCTCCCAGTTTCCTGCATCTCCTTCCCCAGGTTCATGGTAGCTGTTGGGATGACTCAGGGTGCCAGCAGGCTCCAGGGTCATTTCTCTGCATGGCTTTTCTGCAGACTGAGTTTCGCCTGGGAGTCCGGTTTTACACGGAAGAGCAGCCCGCTGCCGCTATCCTGCACCTGGAGAAGGCGCTGGAGGAGTATTTCGTGGCGGACACCGAGTGCCGGGCGCTCTGCGAGGGACCCTATGACTACGAGGGCTACAACTACCTGGAATACAACGCAGACCTCTTCCAGGCCATGACAGGTGACAGCACATGCACAATGTCCCCTTTGGATGCCCTCCATTCCTTAGGGGTGATGCTGAGCAGCAGCTCCCACACCAGGGAATGCAAATCCTAGGGTACATTAGGAGGAATGTGGCCAGCAAACCATGGGAGCTATTTCAATTTTTCCTCCACACTGGAGATTCTGCCAGGGACAACAGGGACCTGTTTGGATCCCCACAGTTCAAGAGGGTTGTGGAGATACTGGAACGGCAGGTCACCAAGGGAAAAACATCCTTGCTTGGAAGGTGGCACAGCCCTGGGGGCAGTGGAGATGCTATCTCACGTGGCAATGGGGGATCACCATCCCAGGGGCTTTCCATGCTTGCCGATGTCTGTGACAGTCCTGGAGGTCAGTCCCGAGCAGTAACGTGACGTGTCCCTCCACCAGATCACTACATGCAGGTGCTGAGCTGCAAGCAGGGCTGTGTCACAGAGCTGGCCTCGCAGCCCGGCCGCGAGAAGCCCCTGGAGGACTTCCTACCCTCGCACTTCAACTACCTACAGTTCACCTACTACAACAGTAAGCTGCTGCCGGCCGTGATTCTGGGCAAATTTGGCCAGAAGCAAGAGAAAAATATTTTTTTTAAAAAAAAGGAAGCCCCAGAAGATCCAGAGGATGGAGCAGTATAGATGAAAGGGGGTCTGAAAATTGCAGGTTAGCCTGGATGGTCTTGCTGTCTGGAAGTGGGCTTTAAGAAAGGGTTTTTTTCCAAGCGGGAAAACTGATATCTGGTGAGCTGGAGGTTGGAGAACACCTTGGACTCTGTTGTTCTCCCTTCATCTTCATGGTGGCAGTGGCCTTTGTGCTGGGGCGTCCGAGGGGACTTTCTGTAGGACGACAGGGCTTTTTCTCTCATTTTTCCTCTCTGTTTTTGCTTTATTCTCTCTCTGCTGAGCTTTTGCTGAGCTTTTGCAGCGTCTCCAGCTTTGGAGTCTCATGCAACCAACTTGCTTGTGCCCAGCACCCATCCTCCTCCTGGCACTGGATCATCGTCCTCCCTGAAGCCGGATGCGGGCAAGGCTGGGAGAGGGACGTCTTCTCATGGACCTGCCTCTCTTTGCAGACGGGAATTATGAGAAAGCCGTCGAATGTGCCAAAACTTTCTTGCTCTTCTTCCCCAATGACGAGGTGATGAAGCAGAACTTGGCCTACTACACCGCTGTCCTGGGGGAGACACTGGCTGGGCCCATCGAGCCCCGAGAGGTGAGCGCCCAGCTAGGATGAGGCACTCCATGGACCTCTTGGGTTTCCAAAGTCTCCAGGACCCTGCCTGGGCCCTGGGAGATGCCGGCTGGATGGGACTCGGTTTCTCTGGAGTCTCCTGCAGAAGGGACTCGTGTGTCCCTCCGGCGGGAGTGATCCGTGTGCGATCCAGGTGCCTCCTGCGGTGGCCCTGACCCGTCCATCCCACCCCGCCCTAGGCAATCCAGGCGTACCGCCAGCGGAGCCTCATGGAAAAGCAGCTGCTTTTCTTCAGCTACGACGTTTTCGGCATCCCCTTCGTGGACCCGGTGAGCCGCGCCGGGATGCAGAGCCACACCGTCCGCCTGGATGGGATGGGACGCGGATGAGGGACCTGGCTCTGAGCCTGGTCCTTGCCTGACAGCAGCACTGTCCTCGTAGGACACGTGGACACCGGAGGACGTGATACCAAAGAGGCTGCGTGAGAAACAAAAGTGAGCGCTGCCGGGGGGTGGCTGTGTCAAGATGACCGGGCTTGGCCACGGGGTCGCTGGATGGGGCTCGTCCTTCGCGCGGTGTCCCCAAGACGGGGGCCGCGGAGCTGACGGCCACCCCCGTGCGCAGGGCAGAGCGGGAGACGGCGGCGCGCATCTCTGAGGAGATTGGCAACCTCATGAAGGAGATCGAGACCCTCGTGGAGGAGAAGGCCAAGGAGGCGGCCGACGTGAGCAAGTTCATCCGAGAAGGTGGAGCGGGACCGTAGGCCGGCGGGGAGGCCAGGCCCTCTGCGTCTCCCCGTGCCCGTCTTGATCTCTGCTTGTGCCGTAGGTGGCCCCTTGGTCTCAGAAGGTGCCAGCGTCACCACGAGCAACGGCTCGCAGCGCGTCGTGGTGGACGGGGTCCTCTCCGATGAGGAGTGCCGCGAGCTGCAGCCGCTCTCTAATGTGAGTCCCAAAGGGACCTCTGACACCTGAGCTCGCCTCCCTCCACAGAAAGGCCTCGCTGTCTCCTTCGGGAGGTCATCAGGGCCTCCTGCTCCATCTGCCTCCTCCTTGCAGGCTGCGGCCTCGGCTGGGGACGGCTACAGGGGCAAGACATCACCTCACACCCCCAGCGAGACCTTCCACGGCGTCACCGTCCTCAAGGCCCTCAAGGTGAGGCCAGGCACGGGGAGAAGGGGACAGGAAGAGCTCCTTCATCCGCCCGGATGAAGCCGTTGGCCAAGCCGGAGCACTGGGAGGTGCTGATGGCTCAGGCCGTGTTCCCGTTGCCCGCAGCTGGGCCAGGAGGGCAAGGTGACCCTGCGGAGCGCCCACCTCTACTACAACGTGACGGAGAAGGTGCGCCGCATGATGGAGTCCTACTTCCGCCTGGAGGTGCCGCTCCACTTCTCCTACTCCCACCTGGTGTGCCGCACGGCCATCGATGGTGAGCGCGGCCCCGGCGGAGCCCCTGCTTCCCCGCGGCCCTGTCCTTCACATCGAGGGAGAAGCCATTGCCCTCTGCCCCCTTGCCCTGTCCTGGTCCCCTCCCTGTCCTTTGGGGCCATCCCGACGTGCGGGTTCTCCCACCCCAGAGAAGCAGGAAGGTCGGACTGACAACAGCCACGAGGTGCATGTGGACAACTGCATCCTCAACGCGGAGGCCCTGCTCTGTGTGAAGGAGCCGCCCGCCTACACCTTCCGGGACTACAGGTACGCGGGGACGCCCGCCCCTCCATCCCGTCTCCTCACCTGAAGTCACTGGGCCCAGTGACGGATGTGAGGAGCCGTCCTGGTTCGCTGGCCTCTGGTTCACGTGGAGGTGATTGGATGGGACCCGTCCACCACCGCGGTGGTGGATGTCACCTCCACTTGTCCCATGACTTTTAGTGCCATCCTCTACCTCAACGGGGACTTCGAAGGGGGAGCCTTCTACTTCACCGAGCTGGATGCCAAAACTGAGACCGTAAGTGATCTGCTCCCCATGGACCCGACGCAGCTTCAGGCCACACCGTCCCACTTCCGTCCTCTAGGAATGTTCCTGGGGATGGGAATTGTGGAGGGCCTGGGGGTAAAATAAATAAAAATAAAACAAAATATTCTGATTTACCCCATTGCCCCCTCGCAGGCATCGGTGCAGCCACAGTGCGGCCGCGCCGTGGGCTTCTCCTCGGGCTCGGAGAACCCGCACGGCGTGAAGGCGGTGACCAAGGGGCAGCGCTGCGCCATCGCCCTCTGGTTCACGCTGGACCCCCGGCACAGCGAGCGGGTAAGCGAGCGCCCTGCGACGCGCGCGGGAGACGGTGGCTGCTGCCGGCGCCGAGGCCAAGGACGAGCTGTGGTGTCCCTGGCCAGCTCTGGTGCTGCCCGACTCAGCTCAACCGCAGCACGCAGCGGTGCCGTCGCTCCAGCATCCCCGGAGTATCCAGCATCCCTTTCCCCGCTGATCCCAGCGGATCGAATGGACAGACTGTGGCTGGGGACATAGGGGAAAGAGGGAGGGGGATGCTCTTTTTTAGGGCTGAAATTCCAGCTTGGAGCCGCTCCGTGGTGCAGGGAGGCTGCTGGGTTAACCACAGCCACACGTCTTTCTCCTCCACTCCAGCTCCCACCACATCACAGCTATTTAAGTGCCTTTTTTCAGACAATCAGCAAATAAAGGTGTGGGTTTTTTTAATTTTTTTTCCAAGCACCTGCTCATTCCAGGGACCGCATCCCCACCACTGTCTGACTTCAGAGATGTTTTGTCCCTTCGTGCACCCGTTTGGCCACAGAGGTCTGTCCAGGCGAGGGCAGCAGTGACAGCCGAGCGCAGCCCTGTCACCGGAGCAGCAGCCACCCCCAGGCTGCTCCCACGGGGACCTGCAGCGCGTTTTGGGGACACGGTGACCCTGGCAGCGCCTCTTCCACCCGCTGCATCAGGCCGGGCATCCTGCTGCGAATTGGGCACCTCCAGGATTTTGTTAAATTACCCCAAGCTGCAGCTTCCCCACCCCCAGCACAGCCTGGAACTTCAGGCACAGAGAGACAAGAGGGTCCCTGGAGCCTCTCGCCCCCCCGTTTCGGCTTCTCGCCACCCCACGCAGGGCACGACAAGAAGGGCATTGAGCGCTGGCTCCGAACAGGGGCCCAAATTGTTCCCAGCGGGAGCCGGGGCTGCTCCAACCATTACCATAACTATCCAGGGAATGTGAATAAATAAGAGGCCGGCATTAAAACCGCCCGACCCGGGCACTGCGATAATATTTGCAGAAAGCGGAGGGACGTAACGGAGCCGCTTTCACCCTGGTCTTTCTGCAGTGGGGCACATGAGGACCCCCTTGGAGGAGACCGTCTCCAGATGACGGAGGAGCAGCCGGTACTCGGCCTCCGGAGCGCTTCGGTCTCCTAAAATCCAGATCCCGCAACTCCCAAAGGGGATTTGCCTTCCAAATCCCCCCCAACAGGGAGGTGACCGTTTCTCCCCAGCATCCCTGCCAGGGCAGGGAGTGTGAGCAGACTCCTAATGAGGCCCCGAGTTAAATATTGCCAGAGGACCTTCAGAAACACCATCCCCCCACCCCGCCAAATAAATAAATAAATAAAACCCACAATTTTATTCCTGGGGCCTTCCGGGGGTTGCGGTGGCACGTGCACCCGTCCCCCGCGCTTGCTGCACGACCCTGGCCTCAATGGAAGGTTTTGTGGCCGCCAGCGCTGTCCAAATGCCACCGCACGCCCCCGTGGCCCTGGCCACCTTTTGGGTCAAAATGTCCCCCCCTCGGCTCTTTTTTTTCTTTCTTTCTTTTTTTTTTCTGCTTCAAGGACAGAGCAGAAGAGACACAGAGGGTCCTTTGGGGTCCCTCTCCTCCCCTAGAGCTTCCATAGACCCCCAGGGTCCCCATCTCCCCCCCAGACCCCCTTTCTCCCCCCGGGTCCATCCTCCCCCCCGGCCTCCGCCTCCGCCCGGGCCCCGCAGCCCC